AGTGGAAACCAGTGTTTCAGGGGTGGAGGAGAAGGCTGTAGCGTGCTGCACACTGGCTGTAGCAAAACCTGAGCAAGCAGGGAGTTGCTTGGCTGTCCTAGATGTCTCCAGGAAGATGCTGAGAGCTCCCCTCCCTAAGCTGTGTTTTCCTTGGAAGAAGGGCTGGTGGAAGGTGAATCATGCCAACAGAGTCGGTGAATTTGGTGGTAGTGAGAGAGGAGAGGACCCAGGGGGGAGGGAACCTGCTCTGGCGTATCTCTTCATTGTCTTGGCGGTGCCTGGGACCTCGCTGTGCTGGTGCGGAGAGGGGAGAGAGAAACAGCACTGAGAGACAGACACTGCCCCAACAAGCTCTCTGCTCGGGGGAGGGAGATGGTCTGGGCACTCAGCGGCCATGCTTGAGCTGTGGGGCCGTGTGGTCTCCCTCCAACCACAGCGTTTGAGTCCTGCAGCTTTTGTCTGGGCCTTGTCCATCTGGTCGAAGAGCACCGTGCATTAGCGTGCTGCACCGCAGGCGCGCTTGTCCTCAGTGGGTCCAGGCTGGGATTCTCCAACACTCGGTGCCTGTGGGTGCCCTGAAACCTGTTTACACCCATCCTGTTGGCAACACCCATCAGGGGTGTTGCCGTCCCCTCACCAGGAAGGTTCCTGGTTCCCCAGGGAGCTTCTTGGAGGCCTTTCTGTGACCATGGGTTCCTGTGTGCCCAGGAAGGACACCCTGTCCCTGTGGGCCACCAGCTTTGGTGGGATGTGGAGGAGATGGATGCTCCATAGTGCCCGTTCCTTCCTCATGCGAGGTCTCCACCAGCCCCAGCAGCTTTTGGTGGACACGGGGGCTGGGTGTGATTCCCCCCCCCCCCACGCCCCCTTCTCCTCCTGCCCGGGCATAGGTACCCAACCTTTGTAGACGCGCTGCGGGACCTGGATGATGCCCTCTCCATGTGCTTCCTCTTCTCAACCTTCCCACGCACGGGCAAGTGCCACGTTCAGACCATCCAGCTCTGCCGGCGCCTGGCCGTGGAGTTCCTCAACTACGTCATCGCCTCCCGCTCCCTGCGCAAGGTGGGCGCTGTGGGGAGGGATGGGTGGGGAGGCCCTGGGGGGTGGTGGACTTGTGCCCTAGGAGGGCCCGGGGCCAGCTGGCAGCTTCAGATGGGGAACGAGTCCTGCCAGGCCGTCTGTGAGACTCCTCTGATGAATCTGCTGATGGGGCAAAGGTTAATGAGGACAGGGACAAGGGAGCACCCATGGCCTTCCTCCCCTGAGCCCCTGCACTGTTCCCTGCCAGGTCTTCCTGTCCATCAAGGGCATCTACTACCAGGCCGAGGTGCTGGGGCAGCACGTCACCTGGATCACCCCTTACACCTTCGCCCATGACGTGAGTACCTGCGAAGAGTGCGGCAGGATCCGTGTGGGACCCACGCTGGCTCGCTGCCCCCTGCCCTGTGGGAAGGGCTGAGGGACACAACGCTCTTCTACCCCCTGGGATGGCTGTATGCGTGTTCCCTGTGCCTGGCTGTACCAGTCTCCCCGGTTCCTTATTTCCTCTTGTCAATTATTAAAATGTGCCTTAATCAGCAATTAAAGATTAGCCTGCAGGAATGAGGCTGGTGGCATGAGGGAAGAGGCGAGTCAGACCCCACACCCTCGGCCAGGGTGGCTCTGCCGCGTCCCTTGCGCAGTCCAGGCTGGTGGCAGGGCGAGGGGAGAGCTGCGGGTGTCCCCATGCCAAGGACAGCCGTACGGCTGTGCTGCGCCTTGCCAAGATGCTTGGCACGCAGGAGTTCACCATCACGGCAGTGCCCTCTTGTTTGGCTCCTGGACTTTCCAGGTCTTGGCACAGTTGGGTTGAGCCCTTCCAGCTCTTCGTGGGCTTTGGTACGGCCCGCACTGGGGCGCACCCCCCCAGCTCACCCTCGCAGCATCTCGGGCAACCCACGTCCTCCCCAGCCAGCATTGCTTGTCTCTCCCTTGAGTTGTGGCTGTTGGGGGGCTGACTGTGTCCTTGCTGGGTTTCGGCTCCTTGCCCTGCCCTTGCTCTGCTTTGCCATGGCCTGCACATCTCTCTTGGAGGAGCAGAGTCCCTGGACGGAGCCACCGAGGGCCCCATCTGTGGTGGGATGAGGTGCTCCATCTGTCCCAGCAGCCCTCTTCACAGAGGGGTGGCAGCAGGGCCCTGGTTAGCAGCCTGGAGAGCTCTCCCTGCCCAGGGTCTGCCAGTTGCCACCTCGCTGTGAAGGGGGCAGCATCCTCCTCCCTGTGCAGATGGGGTGGGCCCTTGTCCCTGCAGAGGGGGGTCTGGTCCTTTGTCCTTGCATCCTCACCCTTCCTGTGTGCTGCAGCACCCCACAGATGTGGATTACCGTGTGATGGCCACCTTCACCGAGTTCTACACCACCCTGCTGGGCTTCGTCAACTTTCGGCTCTACCACTCCCTCAACCTGCTCTACCCCCCTAAGGTGAGGCCATCACCCGCCCTGGGGACACACCACACTGGCCTGAGCCTGGCGGGACCACCCGGTGTGGGTGGTGTGAGCGAGCCCATGCTGGAGGGTCAGGGTGGTAGAGGGGGGCATGGTTGGGGGCTCTGGGGTTGGGAGCTGCTTCCCCACCTCTTTCTCCCCAGATCGATGGCCAGGCTGCTGTTGAGCTGAAGCCTGCGGAGGGCAAAGAGTATGCCATGGATTCGGAGAGCTACCTGGAGGTGAGGGACACTGCCGTCACCCTGGCCCGTGGCAGGACCCTGTGGGGCCCTGGTGACCTGAGCACAGACCCCTTCCTCCATGGGGCACTTGGTGGGCAGGGGCTGAGGAGCAGAGCCTGGTCCTTGCCTGGCAGAGGAGACTGGTCCCAAATTCCTTGCCCCCTCATGCTGGCCAAGGGAGGAGCTGTGCTTGGTCTCGGGGGCCACAGGGACCCTCTGAAGCCCCAGTGCTGGGGACTGCGGGGTGCGACAGCACGCGGAGGAGGCTGAATGTCTCTCTGGTCCCTAGGTCTTTTGACCTCTTGCTCTGAGAAATCGCCTTTTCCTTCCTCCGTGAGGCTGCTGCCCCTTTTCCCATCCCCAAAGCGCTGGCTGGATGTGACGCTCTCTCGGTCTCTTCCCGCTGCAGAAACTGTCAGCTCTGAGTGCCAGCCTGGCCCGTGTGGTGGCCCCGACCCACGAAGACGAGGTGGAGATAGATGAGTTCCCGGTGGAGGGGGTAAGAGCCTGTGTGGAGTGCTCAGCCCTGGCTTTGGTTGATCCCATCTGTGGTATGTCTTGTGGCCGGGCAAAGGCTGGCAGGGCCTGGTGTGGTACTGGGAGGGACTGCCAGGAGCATGGGGCAGCGCCCGAGAGCCCTCCTTGCAGAGAGGGACTTGGCAGGGGCTGTTCCTGTGGAGGGGGCTGAATGCTTTGCTCTGAGCAGGAGACGGCGGAGCAGATGGATGCGAGGAAGAAGGAGCAGGAGGCCCTGGAGAAGCACAAAAAGCTGTTTGAAGGGCTCCGCTTCTTCCTCAACAGGGAGGTGCCTCGAGAGCCGCTGGCCTTCATCATCCGGTATGTGGTGGGCAAGCTGTCCCTCGGCAGCCTTGCTAGGCTGTGCTTGTCAGGACTTTTAAGGCCAATCTGCCTGATGTCCTGCAGGCAAGGTGACCCTGAGGGCCCCTCCTGCCTGCCTGACTCCCTGGTGGGTTTTGCTGGCAGGTGCTTTGGTGGCCAGGTCTCCTGGGACAAATCCCTGTGCATCGGTGCCACCTATGACGTGAGCGACCCCTCCATCACCCACCAGATTGTTGACCGGCCCCGGGTGCAGCAGCAGGTTGTTGGCAGGTGGGTGAGGCAGGTGGCCAGTCCCCATCCCCAGAATGGCCACGTGGACTAGCGGGTGTCCCTGGCCATCCCAGGACTGTCGCACGCTCTGTCTGCTCCCTTGCAGCCCTGTGGGCTCCAGAGCCTGAGGTGGGAGGAAGGCATCTAAGCCCATGTCCCTCTGCCCCACAGGTACTACCTGCAGCCTCAGTGGGTCTTTGACTCCGTCAATGCCAAGCTGTGCCTCCCCGTGGCCGACTATTTCCCCGGCGTGCTGCTGCCCCCGCACCTCTCGCCCTTCGTGACAGAGCAGGAAGGAGACTACATCCCTCCTGAGAAGCTGAAGCTGCTGGCCATGCAGAGGGGCGAGAACCCAGGTGATGCGAGGCTCTGAGGTCGGAGGAGTTGCGGAGCCAGGCAGCATTGCTGCCTCAGCGGGGCCAGCGACTGCTCTCCTCTTGGTAACGGTGGTCTCTCTGTAGATGAAGAGAGTGAGGAGGAAGAAGAGGAGGAAGAAGAGGATGACAATGATAAAGAGGAAGAGGAGGAAGATGAGTCTGAAAAGGAAGAGGAGATGAAATTGAAGAAGATGGAAGAGCAGAAGACTCAGAGCAACAGCAAGGTACGGTTCCTGGCAGCGGGGTGGGAGCCCTGGGAGGAGGCAGCTCTGGTGAGCTCAGTCCTCGCTGCTCAGTCCTCCTGCAGCAGCCACCGTGCTTCATGTTCATGTTCATGAGCTGCAGCTCTCGTTCACGCCTGGGACCTGCCGCCAGCTCCAGAGGGTGCTGCGGCTCTTCTGTGGCCCCCAGGGAATGGCGTGGAAATGTCTGTCCCTAGGGCAGGGTGGTGAGCTCCCGGCGTTCCGGGGTCCTGAGCTCTTGAGCTCTTTGCAGGCGCTTCCCGTGAAGGTGACCGCTGGCAAGCTGCGGCTGGAAGACAGGCAGCGCCTGGAGCAGGAGCAGCAAAGTGAGGAGAAGCGTCTGGCCATCATGATGATGAAGAAAAGGGAGAAATACCTCTACAAAAAGATCATGTTTGGCAAGAAGCGCAAAGTCCGAGAGGTACGAACACAGGGCTGCTCTGCACCAAGGACCCTTGCCTGGATCCTGGTGCTAGCTCTTCCCAAATCGGCTTGCAGCTACTGATTCCTAAAGCTGAGTCTTTCCCCATCTCGGGGCAGAGGGAGCAGCTTCTGCTTCCGATAGACTGCATCAGCTCTGGGTTGTTCCTTCTGCCCCTGTCTCTACTCAGTGAGAGCATTGGCCAACGGTGGGCAAGGGTGAGGCTCTACAAGCCTCTTCCCCAGCATCACCAGGCTGTGGCTCCTCGTGCTCCCCCGGGGCCATGGCTTGTGCTCAGCAAGTGAAGCTGCAGCCCCTCTCTGTGCCCCACGCCTGGCCCAGGTGCCGGCAGAAGATGGGTCCATCTCCCCCACGTCAAGCTGGAGGGCTTGGTGGGACCGAGGGTAGAGCAGCCCTTGGTGTCTGCAGACCGGTCTGACTGTGGGTCTCGGGGTGGTTTCTCCACAGGCAAACAAACTCGCTGCGAAGAGAAAAGCCCATGACACTGCTGTCAAAGAGGAGAAAAAGAAAAGCAAGAAGGCACGACGAGCGTGATGGGACCCGGAGGCTCCCCGCAGGGGCTGGCTGCCTGCCGCCTGTGGACACTCTCGCATTTGGGTGAAAAACCCTCAGCTTTGCTCTTGGGACAGAAATGCTAAATTAAAACATTTCCTGTCTGTAAATACACCTCCCGCTGTGCCTTTCCCAGGGCTCCCTCAGCTCCCCTCCGCCGGTGCCTCTGCCCGTCCCGGTCTGGGCTGCGGGATCAGCGTCACAAGGATTGTCCTCTTCGTGCTGGTGCCATGTCTGCTTCCTGACCCGTGGGGCTGGCGAGTGCGGAAGAGCCCAGGGAGAGATCTGGGCTCTTGCGGGTCCCTCTGGGCTTGTTCCTTTTGAATTTGCACAGCCCTGGGCGGAGGCGCTGGGCCCCTGTGGCGGAGCAGGAGCTCCCCAGGGGCTGCCTGGCTTGGCGGGGCGTTGCAGTGTCTTTTGAGGGCTCAGCACGAGGAGCGGGGCATTGCCCCAGCCTTGGTGGAGAGGAGTCCATGGCAGAGTGGAGCACGTCCTCTGGCATCTGCGTGGTACCACGTGGCAGGCCGTACTTCTCTTGTATTTTTATTTTTCATTAAAGAAGGTGACGCTTCCCCAGTGGTGTGTGTCATCTGTTCCCTCCTGGCCCGGGCGGTGCGACTGCATGGCGCCCGGGGCTCTGCGCGATCCTGGGCACGGCAGAGGAGGCGCGGATCCGTTCATCCTAGACACGTGCGGGGCTGGACACGGCTCCTTACCCCGCACCGGGTGAGTCAGTACGGCTGTTGGGAGGTGAGACAGAAGGGACAGAGCCTGGTCCCTGCTCCAGGTGCACGACCCGTGGGCACCATGGCTGTTACCTTGCTCCTTGTCCCCCTCTGCCAGCCCTTGCTCCCAGCGGCAGCTTTGGGTAGGGTCTGCTCCGGGTGCTGAGAGCCAGCTCCGAGTCCGTTTTGTTCAGCCGGGGGAAGTGCAAAGTCCTGCCCCTGGGGAGGAGGAGCCCCAGGGGCCAGGACTCACTGGGGCCCACCGGGCTGGGAAGCAGCTCTGCAGAAAAGGAGCTGGTGGGCACCACGTTGCCTGTGAGCCACCAACGTGCCCTTGGAGCAAAGAGGGCTAATGGTGCTGCATGAGGAGGTTGAGGGAGGTGATCCTGCCCCTTGGTGCTGGTGAGGCCACTGTGTCCAGCACCGGGCTCCCCACTGCAAGAGACATGGATATACTGGAGTGAGTCCAGCGAAGGGCCACCAAGGTGATGCAGGGACTGGAGCATCCCTCCTAGGAGGAAAGGCTGGGGGAGCTGGGACTGGAGAAGGCAAGCTTTGGGGAGATCTTGTCAATGGGTATAAATACCTGGGGGGAGGATGTGAAGATGGGGCTAGGCTCTTCTCGGTGGTGCCCACCCAGCGGGTGATGGGCACCAGCTGGAACCTGGGAGGCTTCTGAACAGCAAGAAACACTTCTTCACCATAAAGGTGACCAAGCGCTGGCACAAGGTTGCCCAGAGAGGCAGTGAACTCTTCCCTCCATGGAGATACCATGAGCATGAGCCACCTTCAGAGGTGCCGCCAAGCCTGCTGGGACGCTGTTGAGTTGTCTGCAAAGGCACAAGGCAAAGATTTTTGGGGCTCACTGTCCCTCCCCCACCATCCTCCAGCAAGAGATTTGGGGGGGGGTGATTTTTTGGGGTGAAGGAGGGGTTCTTCCGGGGCTCTTGGCTGAGATAAAGCAATGCATGGAGAGAGTAGGGCTGCCATGGTTGGCATTGGCAGCATTATCCCACCCCCTTCCCCAAAATCCTGAAGTTTTTTCCCTAAAAACAGCCACCTTCACACACCTTTCCTCTCCACAGCCTACATGTGGCCCTGAGGCCTGTTCATGGCCACCCTCCTCCTGGGGAGAGGAGGAGGGTAATGCCTGGGTTTGTGCAAGATTTGGGGGGTTCTGCCCTTTTTTGGCTCGTTTTGGAGGTTGGGGAGGGGTGTCCCAAGGTGGGGTGGCTCCTGTGGGGTTTTTGTAGGGCTTTGGTGAGCGTGGCCTCGTTGGGATGTGAAGGTTGGGCCACCTCACAGGGCTTATGGGGACACCCTTGTCTCCAGCCATGGTGAAGGCTGTGGTATCTCACGGGGCTTTATAGGGACAGCCTCGTCCCCAGCTGCGGTGAAGGTTGTGCCATCAAATGGGGGGTTTGTGGGAACACCTTGTCCCCGGCCGTGGGGAAGGCTGGTTATCTCATGGGGCTTTTATGGGGACCGCCCTTCTCCTCAGCGGTGGGGAAGGCTGACACCCTTGTCTCCAGCCATGGTGAAGGCTGTGGTATCTCACGGGGCTTTATAGGGACAGCCTCGTCCCCAGCTGCGGTGAAGGTTGTGCCATCAAATGGGGGGTTTGTGGGAACACCTTGTCCCCGGCCGTGGGGAAGGCTGGTTATCTCATGGGGCTTTTATGGGGACCGCCCTTCTCCTCAGCGGTGGGGAAGGCTCCGCCACCTCGTGGCATTTTTTGGATGACGC